TATTATTATTTATAATAAATTAATATATTGAATAAGTTTCTAAAAACTGAAGCAGTATTTATGATGTTTTAAATTTCAATTTGTCAATTTCACAGTTATTTTCATAAACATTTGATAAAAATTTAACTCAGTAATATGTGTCTAAATAATTTGTGTTTTGATATTTTACTGGAAATTTCTTTGTATCCTAACATTTAATAAAGTTAAAGTAAATTTTTCTTGGATATTTGAAAAGCCAGGATGTACATACGTAGGCTGTTAGGATAGTTTTATTTATTTAAGTTTTAAGAACCTGCTATATATCTATATATAGTCACATACACACAATATAGTTGTACAGGTTATGTAGATATTCCCTATTTTCAAATTTAAGAGTTTTTATGAATCTTCTAAATGCATTGCATTGATGATATATTCACTCTCTTCATGCCTGTGTAATTTTTTTTACCAGCATACTGAGTGTTAGCATATATCAGTGTCAGGTCTGCTGATGAAACATCAAAATGTTTAGCTTTGTACTCACAACAATCCCATTCCTGATTTGCATGAGGAGGTGGTTGAGGGGTTGTGGCCTCCATTGTTATCTGTCCTGACTCCTCTTTCCCCCCTTTGCCACCTTGAGGGGGTCCCCTGTGACCCTCAGGAGAAATGGCCATGCTCTCAAATGCTCCTTCCTCTTTGTCATCAAAGAAGACTATTTTCAGTATTAAGTATAATTCTTTTAATTGCCATTTTCATAGATACAGGTTCATGTTTTATTTAAGTTATTTCCTTAGGATAGGTTCTTTTTATCCTGAGAGGAAAAAGGCATGCATGTTTTTATGGATCTGTGAATTTTATGATATCAAATTATTTTAGAAAAATCTTGCACAGTGTATTCTCCCAGCAGCAATAAAGGAATAACAATCCTCACCAGCATTGGAAAATAAATGCTTAGATATTAGTTGAGAAGATATTTTGAAGTAGAAGGAGATGTGGGCAAAATAAGTCTATTTTGCTTGTCAGTTATGTATGGTTAACCCTGGGAATACAGTGTGGAGTGCCAGGCAGTGCACGATGGAAAGATCTAGAAGAAAGGTCTGAGGTGTGGGGATCCTTAAGGGGGCATTGGAAGCTTTCATGCTGCCCCAGGCAGTGTGCGGTTGCCTGCAAGTCTTTGCTCCTGTGACCATATCACATAGGATGCTGTCTTGCTTTAGTTGCTACAGACTGGAGAGCTGACTTGATGTGACAACCAAATAAGATGTGTCTTCATGTGCTCTGTGTTGCAGGCCAATTATACTTTCTATTTTGTGGACAAGCTAAAAAATTTATCAGAAACACTCCTGAAGTTGTCCAGCCTTTTCCAGGGAAGTGGAAATGGCCAAATGTTCAACCAGCTGCAGGTGAGTGGTGAACACTTTCTATAGTCTGGCTGAGATACTGGGGTGCCCCTGTAGAAAGTTCAACTTGGGGGCCTAGAGAGATGGCTCAGCAGTTAAGAACACTGGTTGTTCTTGCAGAAGACCCTGTTCGAATCCCAGTACCCACGTGGCAGCTAACAACTGTCTGTAACTCCAGTCTCAGGGGATCCGACAGCCTCTTGTGACTTCTGAGGGCATTGCACAACACGGGTGCACTTACCTACAAGCAGGCAATACACACCTACATGTAAAATAAAAATAATAAATAAAATATTTTTTTAAAAAAAAGACATTTCAACTTGGTGGTGGCATGCATGGTTTTCTTAGTTGATAAAATTTCCATAAGATTGAATATATGTGAAAATATTTATGAATTTTTAGTGTTTCACCCATGCAAGATAGCACTATGTAAAATTAATAATTTGCTAAAGCTGGTTTTAATTCTATAATAAATTTAGTGCTTTTAAAAATAGCTTACATTCTTCTCAGTTATGAGTTTATTATACTAATTTTCATTTCCTGATATTCTGTATGGGTCACCAAACAAACATACAAACAAACCCACAAAAACCAAAAACCAAAAAAAAAAAAAAACAAAAAACAATCAACCAAATCAGATGAGAGTCTGGAGAGATGGCTCAGCAGTTAAGAGCACTGGCTGCTCTTGGAGAGGGTTCAATTCCCAGCACTGACTGACGACTAACAACCATCTGTAACTACAATTCCAGGGGATCCAATGCCCTCTTCTGACCTCCACAGGCATTGCACAACACGGGTGCAGTTACATACATGCAGGCAATACACTTATACACATAAAATTAAAAAAATAATAAAATATTTTAAAAAGTACTGGATAACAGCCAGGCGTGGTGGCACAAGCCTTTAATCCCAGCACTTGGGAGGCAGAGGCAGGCAAACCTCTGAGTTCAAGGCTAGCCTGGTCTACATAGTGAGTTCCAGGACAGCTGGGGCTACAGAGAGACCCTGTCTCAAAAAGACAAAAAAAAAAAACAAAAAAAAAAAAAAAAAAAAAAACAAACAAAAAAAAAAACAGATGACTGGAAAGGAGATTTGAGGGAAGGGGAAGGAGAAAGAGAAGGCAATGGGGGCAAATAGGATGAAAATGTGTTGTAGATGCAAATGTCATGATGAAACCCTTTACTATGTATAATTAACACATGTGAATAAAGACAAAACAGATAATCTCATATTGAAAAAAGTCAGTGGGTTATGATTTAAACTAGCTCAGTTTCTTCACTGTTACCAGGAAAACGTTAGTTCCAGTGGTTCACCTAATAACTTTTGGGGCGTTTATGAATCCCTAACTTAAATCTGATGGGGTGAGCGAATGGGTGCATATTTTTGTTCATGTTTGGCTTACTTACCAGACAAAGGATTCAAGTCATGCACTTAGGAACCACACTGGATGGGCCTCCTTCCACACCCTTGTGCTTTACAGCAGCTGTGTGGTCTCGGACTCGTCCCTGAACACAGTCGTGCCTTGGGCATCTTATTTGTGAAATGAGGCAATATTAGTAGCTCTGAGCATAACTGAGCTAGGCTCTGTGGAGCCCATGGAGTGGAGTTTGAGAGGAAGGACACACTACCGAGTGATTCCAGGAGCCCCAAAGAACTCTACTTTGGAGACATAGACATTAACAGACTGTTCATGCCCCAGGGGGTAGCCACACAGTCAAGTGAATATGGACACTCCCAAATGGGGATTATTAATAACAAACAAATACATTTTAAACAGAAGACATGAAGTTGGGATGGGGATGGGGTAGGGAACGCTGGGGAAGGTGGAGAGAGGTAGCAGTGTATATGATCAATGCACTTCTATCAATAGATGAAAAGTCACAGAATAAGAAAAATACTATTTTAATAAAAATTTCACACAGGAAACAGCTACTACAGCAAAAGAAGGGAATTGGGACAGAGTAGATGACACTGCATCAATGGCACTCATCTGACCCTGAGGGAAGGAGAGAAGAGAGGACGCAGGGCTCCAGGGCCCTGGTCAGCCTTGCAGGTTCCTGAACATGTGGTCAGGTTGCAAAGGAGCCATGGAGCTTGAGCTGGTGATGGACAGATGAGTCCTGGGTTGGTCGGGTCCTACACAGGGAGGGCCTGCCTTGGTAGCCATTGTCCAAGAGCAGCCTGTGGAGGAGTGGCTTCAGGGAAAATGACACACTCGAGTGCAGACCCCTGCACTGCTCTGGTCCTGGAGATGGTGTCTGCGAACCTCATTCTCATGTGACCTCAGCTCTGCCTTCGTTATTGATGCAATGTTATTTTTCTTTAATTTGTTTGCTCATGGGTTAATTGTTAATACAGATACCATCAAATTTTGTGTAATGGGTCTGATTACAAAAAGTTTAGGTCTTGATAAGGTTTTGCTGATGCTATAAATATTGACATACTGTATTGTAATCGCCATGAGAACACGAAGAGGTGCCTGACTCCCTAGGAAGGCTGTAGTTAGTACTGCTCATTAAGAAGTCATGTCAGAAACCACACTCACATGCTCAGTCTCACAGAACTTTCAGCTTTACACAGACTGCAGAGTCATAAGTTTCTACTCGGGATCCTGCTCAGGGAAAGTTGGCAGTGTCTGCTTGAACTAAAGTCCACGCCTGCTTCTGACACTAGATGGAATTATTAGTGACTTCGGGTGATGCTCATATCTACTCCAGTTGATTTTACTTCTAATAAAAGGCAGCAGTAGTTTCTTCAAAGGAATGCTGCCTAAATTAAATGGACTAATGTGTAAAAAGATACTCCATTCCTATGCCAACATGGATGGGGGACGTTTCGCAAGGTCCCACCACTAGATGAAGAGCTACAGGCAGTCCATGCTGTTGAAGGAGGGAGAATCAGTTTTCTCCAGTGACGAGCTCCCTGATGGGCTAACTGATCCAAAGTTATCAGCCCTAACCACATGTACATAGAAGTAGCACTAAATGAACTCACTCAGGAACTAATATATACATATATATGTAACAATAATAATTAAGAAGAGGTCATAAAGTTTAGAGGGATTGGGGACCATGGGAAAAGTTGGAAGGGGTAAAGGAGGGGTGGAGATGATGTAAATACAGTACTCACATATGACATACTAAGCAATTCAAAAATTTTAAATAAAAATAAAGTACCCCATATAGTGTCTTGTCTCGTAAAGGAAGATAAATAAGATTTAAGAAAGACCAAGTAGTCAGATTTCATGAGATGAGAGAGTGTGAGCAGTGAAAGATTTAAACAGAGAAGATGCATGCAGATCATGTGAGAATGCCCAGCATGAAGCCCAGGTTATAAGGGCAAATCTGGATGACTCTACGTAGTCTCCAAGAACAGCAACATCATTTAAAAAATTAGTTTATTTCTGTGTGTTCATACATGTATAGGCCAGTATCACAGTACATGCTTATGGAGGTCAGAGAGTCAGTTCTTTCCTTTACCAAGTCAGTCCCAGGGATCAAACTCAGGTAGTGAGGCTTAAAGGCAAGCGCCTTTACATGCTGAACCATCACACCTGTCCAGGACTAGCAAAGTCTATAATTAACCCTCTCATCTTAATTCTGGCTTTGGGGCCCAATGCATCAGCATTTTCCCCTCTCAGTTTGCTTGTAGGTTGTTGGATATGGAAGTGTATTGTGAGCACACACGTATTCACTGTGAAATCAAAATGCAGGATTTCATTAAGTCAGTGAGAATAGTTTTGGAGAAACTTCCACAGCAAAAGCATCGACAGAGAATGTTAGAGCTGTCAGCCATGAGGGAAGCATGATGCAGGCTTTGCCCTTCAGGACCAAGAAAGGCCTGGGGAGGGCTGCTGCCCTTGTGTGTAAGCACTACCTCCCTACAGACAGTTGGCCTGCATGAAGTGATGTAAAGGATGAATCTCAGGAAGAAAAGGAGAGTCACCTACCTTCCTTAGGAAAACCCACCCACATCTGCTCATTCCATTATTTATCTCAGTATTAGCACCACTGCACTTATAATAACAATTTTCATAATCATTTCTTTTGTTTTTCAAGGTTCAAGACTGTATCAAATGTTAACTTAATATTTATTGTGATACATTGGCAATTCCTTTAAGTGAATCCATTTTATGTGTCTTTTTCCTGTGTTGTAAAACTTTGTCAGTATTATTGGATAAGAGGACTAGATGCAATCATTTTTGTTATGCTTCATTCTTTTCATTTAGGATGCTCTAAGAAACAAGTTTATACGAAACTTTGTAGAGAGCCAGTTACATATTGACATGGACAAACTCACTGAAGACCTGCAGACATATGGTAAGGGTGCTGATGGGTAGGTGGGGTCTACCTGCTCAGGACTGTGATGCTTGGTTCCTACCCCAAAGGCTATGCAGTTGCTGGTAACATTGCCTGTTCACCTTTCTTCTCCCTATCTGTAACCTGAAGCATTTGAGTTGGATGCACCACTATGTGCAGACATAAGAGAAAAGCATCATTACCTAGTGGCCTGAGTCATTAAAATAGAATAAGCCTTTTAAAAAAAGAAGTTCATATCAGAAGTTTTCTGATTTGCCAATTCAGAACTTGGCTTGTAAAGAATTAGGTAATATTCATACAATCATTTGTAAGTGAGGACAAGAAATGGAGAAGGGAATAGGAGGGGTTGGAGGGGGCTGGGAGGGACAGAAATAATGCAAAGACAACACTCATGTATGAAATTCTCAGGAACTTAGTTAAAAAGGAAGGCTTCTGTTTAGAAAGCAAGAACTGTGAGTTACAAGGCTGGTTTTTATAAGAAATTACTATTGAACTAACAGTAAATTGAAAGTAATTATGTTGATTTGAAAATGTGGAGATCAGTTCTTTTTCTAATCTGTCAATTAGCAAACATGTATCTCTGCTGTAATCTTTTAATTCACTTCGGTTTTTAACCAATAAATATATTTATTCATTCTTTTTTCAGACATTATGGTTATATAGCCCTGGCTGTCCCTGTTACTGTATTATGCATGTGTCCCATCAGTCCTTGAACATCACGTGTTTACTGTACATAGAAGGAGAACCAGTTCCACACAAAGATGTAGATGGGCCTGGGATATTCCTCATACTGGGAGGATACTGATCTTAGAAACAGCAATTGAGGCAGAGTCAGGACTCTGCCCCAGGCATCCTAGAGATGCTGCCAGTAGCCTGAACCAGCTGGCTGGGTCTTGGAGACCAGAAAAAGAAGAGTGTCAAATTGTTTCATTTCCCTGGCACTCTGCTTGGCATAGGAGAGGGGCTCAGATATGCTTGCAGCATGAAGGCTAGAGAAAAGAAAGCATCTCATTAAGCATAATCGTTACACTTGAAAATAATTTTTGATGAATCTGCTACTTAGAAAATTGGTACAATTGGATCTGGTGGTGTACGCCTTTAGTCCCAGATCTTGGCAGAGGCAGGGGCAGGGACAGATCAAGGCCAACCTGGTTGACATATCAAGTTCCAGGCCAGCTGGGGCTGCAGAGAGACGCTGTCTCAAAGATAAAACAGAAAGTGGTATGGGAGCTGGTGAAATGGCTCAGCGGTTAAGTGCTCTTGCAGAAGACTGGGGTTCAGCTCCCAGTATTCACATGACAGCCTAACAACCTTCTATAACTCCAGTTCCACGGGAATCTGACACCTTCTTCTAGCCTCTTCTGGCATTGCATGATATGGTTGCATTTACATACATGCAGGCCAAACACTCATATATCTGAAAAAAAAAGCAGTACATATAGATTGAGTGTCCCTTAGAATGCTAGGGACACAAATATTTCCAAATTGGGAGAATTTTCCTATACTTAAGGAGATAGCTTAGTGATGGGACCCAAATCTACATACAGAATTCTTTTGGCATTTGCACACATCCTACACCAACCTCAAGATAGTTTTTCACAACAATTTTCTGTATGAAACCATGTTTCATGGTGTGAGAGTTTCCACTTGTGGCTTCATTTTGGCACTTAAAATCTTTCAGATTGAAACATTTCAGATTTCACATGTTCTGATTAGACTCCAGGGCCCTGCATAAGCTTGGTAGACAAGCTCTGAATATTCTGGTTAGAGATGCTTAATTTTTGTTTTAATAATAAATGCTGATGCATTAAATAATTTTCAAGTTAAAACACTTAAAAATGAAATAGTGCTCAAAAATAGAATCTCTATCCTGTATATTATGGAGCCAGAGACTGAAATGGGTCTGAGAGCTTTTGTGCCCAGTTCCAGTACACTGTGTGGTGTTAGTGTTGATACAATGTCTTAGAGTAGGAAGCGGACCTGAGTTCTATTTAAATAATCTGTTGCCAAGAAGCACAACCATTTTTGGATAAAAGTAAAAGAGTCAGACATTTTCCTACAAGTGTGTGGGACCAAAGATGTGGGACCAACATGATCTGAATTTCTTCATAAAGTGCATTTCTTCTTCCTGCTCCAACATTAATTCAGAGTTTATAAACTGGAAAGGGATTATGGTTGTTTTCCATCTAGCCCTGCTCAGTCCTTTATCAACAGACACAGGGTGAAGACAGGCATTCCTCAAGGCTCCTGGGAGGCTGAACACAGACTTGAAGCATACCTCATTTGTTTTTTTCTGCAGAGCTAAGAATAGAATCCAGGACCTAGTGTGGTACATGCTAGGCAGATAGCCCTGCCACTCTGCGCATGTAACTCTCTAGCCAGAGAACCAACTTGCATTAGTGCAGACATTCTTTTAGAATTTATCCCTAATCATGTCCACATTTGTTCATTCTGTAATCTCTATCAGGACAGCATGATTGCCTGAGATATGTGGATGCTCTTCCGGGAATGGGTACCCATTTAGGATGTTGCTTTTGTTGATTGTGTAACTTTTGAAAATTACTTCATAACAAAACAATATATGCTGTTGTAGAAACATTAGAGAATTAAAATAGGCCAGAGAAGAATTCTTCTCATCAGAGATAATTATTGAGAAGTCCTTGAAGTTCTATTATAGATGGACTTGCATGTACTTACATGACAATCGTGCCATCTACATAGTTGTTTTCAATTGTTTGTAAAAAGTTAGCTCTACCACTAAGGCTCTTATGCCCACGATTACTGACTCTATGACCAGGAAATCTCCCCTAGATGAGCACCATCTGTCTTCACTCCCCGGAATGGACTGCTTTGAACTTGTCTATCAAGGTCTTCTAGATCGATCATCATAGCCTTCAATGACACACAGATGGCATTTCTTTATTTATTCACTGTAAGAATTATCAATTGATTTGCCGTCAGGAAGGATGAAGCTTGAGTCCTGGGCCATATTGCTTTCTCACCCTGGTGCTCCTATGCTAGTTATATGATCATTTTAGTCATCATAAAACATAATGAGTATATAAATATTCTTCTACGCAGAGCCAAGCTGAGCATAAGGGAATTTCCTTTTTAAAATTATTGTTATTGTGTTTGTATGTGTGTATGTATGTATAAAGCATATGTATGTGTTCCTGTGTGTGTAGGTGTGTGAGTGTGTGGCAGCCAGACAGCAGTGTTGGATGTCTTCCTCTATTACTGTCCTTTTTTTAATTGAAACTTTTCCATTTTCATACAACATAATTTGATGGTATTTAGATTTCCTTCCCTATTGAGACATCCTCTTATTGTCACCCATCCAATTTAATGTAGTCTATTACATATAATAATAAGACCTATAGAGACTAATTTGTGTCCCCAAATGTCCTTCAGTATGGGTCCATCCACTGGAGCCTGTTTAACCTACCAAGAGTCCCATTCTTGAAAGAGACTGTCTCTGTCCCTCCCAGCAGCCATCAGTTTCAATTGATTTCCTTACACTTCTTCATGTCTATGCTGGAATTTTGTCTAGTTTGGGCTTGCATGAGATTTGTGTATGTGGTGCTATTGTTGTGTGCTCAAATGAATAACTGATCATCTGGCTGGAAAACTCTGTTTCCTTGTGGTCATTTACTACCTCTGGCTCCTCTTCTGCAATGATCCCTGAGCCTTGGGAGGCAGAAGTTTGATAAAGGGGTCCTATTAGGGATAAGCATACTGTAGCCTCTTATTCTCTATATATTGGCCCGATGTGGGTTTCTATGTTTATTGTTATCTGCTGGCACCAGTCCAAAGTTCTGGTGAGAGATGAGCACTACATTACTTTATGGGTAGAGCAATAAGTCATTAGGAGACAGTTTAATATGATAACTATTTAGTGGAAAACTAGTGTTAGCTTCTCCTTTCTGTCCTGTGACCTGTCTAGCTTCAGGCTCTTAAGCCTGATACCCATGTCAGCTATGGTTTCCATTCTTTGAAGTAGACCTTAAATCTAATAAAAGAGTGATTTGTTACTCCCACAGTTTCTGTGCTACTATTGTACCAGTGGGCATATCGTTCCAGGCCAATTATTGTAGTTCACAGGATGCACAGCTGGGTGAGGTTGATGATTATTTTTTCCTTTCAGTAGCATGCATAGCACCTTCCAGCACTATGGATGCTAACCAGTAGAGTTTATCACTCTCCTTTTTTGAGGCAGGGTCTGTTTACTGAGCCTGGAGCTCACTGATGTGGCTAGGTTTGCTGGTTAGTAAGCTTCAAGGATTGGCCTGCCTCTGCTTCCCCAGACTGAGATTATGAGCACACATCAGCATGCCTGAATTTTAATGTGGGTGCTAAGGATCCAAACTCAGGTTCTCTTGCTTGTGCGATAAATACTTTATTGACAGTTATCTTCCCAGAACCCTGAAATTTCCTTTTAAATAATATTTCCCTTTTCCTGAGTTTTCAGGTCCTTTTGCTTTTACATGAAAGATTTGCTGTCCATCATTTAATTAACACTATGCTTTTCCATTTAGTATAATTTCTTTTTTGAGACAGGTTGAATGTAAGACTATAATTTCTATATATAGTGGTCAGTGGATATAATTTAATTTCTCTGAAACTTGTTGAGGTATTTCCATTGTCCCAACGGATTGCCAGTTCTAGTTTCTCCTGCTGCTGTTTCTGGAGCTTTTATGTGTGGGCCTTACTGTTTGCTTATTCTGTCAGTTATTAAGAGGTGTGTGCTATGATTGTGGATTTGTGTATTTCTCCTTTCTTAAGGTCTTTTTGCTTTTACATGTAAGGTTTCTTATCTATCCCCCTGCCCCTGGTGTGCCAGAAAAATCTCTATGGTGAGCCCTTCTGTCTGTGTGGCAGCAGGCAAGATCCTTCTATCACACTTCCTCCTCCCTCCCACACTGCCTTCTTGGGAATTCTATGTTGAGGTCATATGCCTGACACAGTTCCAGGAGATACAATAAATCATGGCTGGCAAGGCGTGGCATCAGGAATGTGAGGCATCTGGTCACATTGCGTCCTCACTCAGGAAGAAGAGAAAGATGAATTATGGTACTCAACTTGCTTTTTCCTTTTTATTCAGTCTGAAACCCAGCCCATGGAATGGTGTCCCCGTATTTAAGATGCATCTTCCCACCCTAACCCAGTCTAGAAACTCCCTTATAGACACGATCTGAAGTTCGTCACCTAGGTGGCGCTGTATTCTGTCAAGTTGACAGTCATTAACTACCACAAGTATAACCCTTTGTCAACTTGACACAAAACGTCATTCTCTTAAGCCATAACATTCCACTTTTGTCCCCATAGACTCACGAATATCTCATAATGCAAAATGAATTCAGTCTAACTTCAAAAGTCCGCATAATCTTTACCAGTTTGAAAGTCCAAAGTTCAAGTTTCTTTGAGAGTCAAGGCAGTATCTTCACTGTGAACTCCTATAAAATCAAAAACTTTTTACATACTTCCAGCATACAATGGTACAGCATAAACATTTCTTTTCCAGCAGTGAGGAACGGGAGCACAGCAAAGAAAGATCACTTCAAAGCAAGGCTGAAACTCAGCAGGGAAGATCAACCCTTCATCTCTATGTCTGGCTTTGGGGATACATGATGCAATTATTTGAACCCCAAAGGGCTTAGGTAGTTTTCCCCTCCAGTTCTGCTACCTACAGTGCACACAGACTATTCTTGAGCTGGTTTCCCTCCATGGCCTTAGCAGACCATCCTTAGCAGACATCCCATGGTCCTGGCATCTCCAACATCCTGAGATCTCCACTGCAACTTAGGCTTTCTAGCTTCACACAGCGGCTTCATAAGGCTTCCCCTGCAGGGACATCCATGGAATTTGACTCTGCCACATAGTACCTGGCCTGCCTTTTAGGGACCTTGATGTAAGCCTTCATGACCCCATCTCTCTTGCTTCTTTCATGCTTATAAAACCAGTAGCACATGGAGGACCTGCCACATTCTGCTGTCACCTTGAGATGCAGCCTGCCCCCCTTGAACCGTGGTTGCATCAGCTGTTCTGACTCACGGGAAATACTTCCCTAGGTGGTTGCTTTTGAGCAGCGAAATTCTTCAGTAGCTTTGTCTGTTCAGACTGCCTATTTTCAAAGGAATTTGCATTTTTATGAGTTGGAACCTTCAGTGGGTGGGACATTTTTCTATTTGTTCCATTGCAGAGAAGAATTTTCCCTTTAGTGCCACTAATTCCTTTAACAATTACACCCACTTTCTCTGTACCCTCCTTGTCTGCAACTTTAAATCTGCTCACACTCATTTCCCTGCTAAACTTCACATTCGTCCTGTCTTTGTTTTCTCTTACTGTAGGCCTGAATAAGATCACTGAGTAGTCCCCATGCCACAGCATGAACGCTATCAGGTCTTGAGATTTCTTTTGCCAAACAAATTTGTCCATTACTTTTCAATTCAGTTTGACTTAGGTTCTCAGGACATAGGCTGGATGCAGTAATTTTTTTTTTTTTTTTGGCCAGAATATTGTTCAAAGAACCATTTCAGAGTTTTTCTTTCCCTCTGAAGCCTCATAAACTGGGCCTCTGCCATGCATCTCTCTACATCCTGGTCTTTCCAGTTTCCAAAAGAATGCTATTAAAGTTCTGCTTATAGCATCTTAGAGTTTCTCTGGCCTGTAGCTGTGAACTCTTAAACATTCCTCCTTCTTCAGAACTGAAGGTCTATGAACCAGGCCAAGTTCTATCCCAGCAATAGATCTACTTCTCAGTACCAATTTTCTGTATTAGCTGCTTTTCAGTTTATTGCAACAAACTATTTGTCAAGAAACACCTTAAGGGAGGAAGGGCATATTTTGACTTACTTTGTGCCACTTTTGACTATGTGGCCAGAGGCTACAGTAGGGCTGGGTTTCCTCAGTCAATATTCCTTTATAAATCTTCATCCAAAATTAATGTCAAATGATTCTCACTCTTCCCTGCCTCGGGGAAGCTATGTTGCTTAGGATTATTTGATACCCTGTTGGAACAGTATTTTTTTTTTGTTTGTTTTATTTTTGTTTTGCTATGTTCTATTTGAAAGGCTTTTTTTCTGAGCATGCCTCCTCAGACATTGCTCTTTCTGCTATTTATTTTTCCAGCTCTCACTTTCACAGGGTTCCTTAAGGTACCATCTTGTATTGGTTTGCTTGATGTGACAAAATTCCAGACAGAAGCAACCTAGTGGAGGAAGGATTTTTGGCTCACAGTTTCAAAGGTGTCAGTGTCATGTGGGGGAGATGAGTAGTTTATATCATGACAGCCGGAAGTAGAGGCAAGATTATACAGAAAGTAGAGGCAAAATCATACAAGAAGTAGAGGCAAGATCATACAAGAAGTAGAGGCAAGCTCATACAGGAAAAGGCCAGGGTAAAGATACAGTCCCCAAGGACGTGCCCCAGTGACCCATTTCCCCAAAGCTCCTGCTTCTTGACTCCCCCCAATAGAGCCATCGTATTATGAGCTCATCAAAAAATTAATCTAGTCATTAGTAGTCCATTGATTAGGCCAGAGTCCTCATGACAATCAAGCTTGGCCTTCATACTGTCTGTTTTTTTTTTTTCCCCCATTTAGCTATATTAGCATTACAGAGAATATGCATAAAAAGCAGAGAGTTTACTATTTGGCAAATGATTAGTTCATTTTGGCAATGAATAAAACTAGACTCGTGTTATTTTAAAGTGAAGAAACGCATTCATTTTTATACTCATTTGTGTGACCCCCCACTGTATGAATAGCGAGCACTGAAGTGAAAGAAGTGATTTCTTCTAATGTGTTTGCTGCCTCCAGGGCGGATGCTGGACAAGATGTTTAACCACGTGGGAGGTGGGCGCTTCCAGTTTTTGGGCAGTATCTTGGTCAATCTCTCTTCCTGTGTGGTGTTGGACCGGTTCCAGGCAGCAGAGTCTGTCGACACCCTGGAGACTAAGGCACGTGAGCTCATGCAACAGAACAGCTTCTTGGCCAGTAAGTACTTGACAGACAAATTTGATCACTAAGGCAGTGGGTCCTATAAGCTGTCATTTTGCCTGTTTCTCCCTAAGGGTGTCTTAAATTGACTCAGAAAGAAGCCGTTTCTAGATAGCATAAACGCAACCGAGGTACAGGTATTGAGCTAGTGGAATGAAAGGCGTGCCTCGTACTGAGAGGACTAACAATGTGCTGCCCACCCCAAGGACAGTCCTACTTACTGCATCTGTTCTATTACTTCTTACTTAATTTTATGGCTACACTGCACATGAGAAATATTTTTACTGGCTAAGTTATACTCCAAGTCCTCCATCACCTTTATTTTTATCATAGTACCCTGATGCTCTGAAGTGTGAAAGAAAAATGACAGTGGCCAGTTAGATTCCATTGTCAATTGTGTAATTATTCAGGATAAGTGCAATGTATTCTTTTCTGTCCTTTTTAAATAAACACTGTGCTATTACTTTTTAAATATTTATTTTTATTTTCTGTGTATGAGTGCTTTGTCTGCATGTATGTAAGGGCATTTGTGGATGACTGAAGAGGACATCGGATGCCCTGGAACTGGCATTACAGCTGTTAGCTGGCATGTGGGTGCTGGGAACCGAATATGGGTCCTCTGGAAGAGCAGCAGGTGCTCTTAACTGCGGATCCATCTTTCCATCTGTCTATTATGATTATTATTATTTGGTGCTGTGGATTGAACCCAAGGCCTTATATAAGCTAAACACATGCTGTACTACTCAGCTGCAGCTCCAGCTACATTTAGTTAGTGTGCGTTGAGATTTGGGATAGGTTTGACAGGGCTATCATAGCAAAATACTTTAAGCCTGGGCGACTTAACAACAGAGGTTTGTTGGTTTATAGTTCTGCAGGCTGGAAGTCCAAATCAAGTGTCTCAGGTTCCATCACAGGACTGTAATGGAAGGACACTTTGTGGGTACCTCTTGATTTCCTGATGGCTGTGTTCTCTTGAAATATCTTTATATAATTTACACACAACTCTGTCAGATTGCCTCTTTTTATAAGGATACTACCATACTGAATTAAGGCCCTCTCTGAAAGCATCATTTTGACTAACCCTTTCAAGATGCTATCGCCAGGGGTGGGGAGATGGCTTAGTGGGTAAGAGTACTTGCTGTGCAAGCATGAGGACTAAGTTCAAACCCCAACATCTGCATGAAAACAAAAAGCCAGCCGTGATGTGCATATCTGTATGGAGCCCCAGTACTACTAGGGGACAGAGATAGGAAGATTGCTGGAACTTGCTGGTTGCCAGCAGAATTCAAGGTTCAGTGAGAGAGCCTGTGTTGGGGCATAAGGAGAGTGATGGACCAGGACACCTGCTGTCTTCACTGGTCTCCACATGCATGCAGATATACTTGCACACACAGGTAACACACACACACACACACACACACACACACACACTGTCTCCTAAGATGATCACATTCTGTCATCCTGGGGATTGGGACTTTAACACGTGGGTTTTGAGAAAACACATTTCAGCTTATAAGAAGGTTTATGCATTAATATAGAGGACGTATGTGGCAGAAATGAGGATCCTGCACTTAAGCGATGTATGATAAGTACCCCAAAGATAAAGATTCTGCATTCCTAGTTATGCCTGCAACCCTAGTGGAGGAGTGCCCGATTATTTGATCAGCTTTGCATAATTTTTTGAGTCTAGTAAAAATGTGAAACGAGTAATGTGTTTGTGTGGATGGTACCACAATATAGTTGTATTAAAAACTGGAAAGGCACATTGGACTGGAAATTTGGGTCTTGGTTCAATTTTATCACCACTTGCCTGTGGAACTGAGTTGTTAGTTTGGCCCCTGGGGCTGCATCCCCTACCTCAGGAGTGCAAGGCTGTGCAGAATGCAGGATTCTGCCAGCCTTCCTGTCTGGCCAGTGCTGGCCCAGCGTGTGCCCCTCCTTCAGCTGTGCTGACCCTTTATTTTCCTTTCCTGTTACCAGGTGTCATATTCAACAGTTCCTCAGTCCACAGACATATCAGATCAGCTCCTCCCAAGTTGCCACCCCACGTCACATACACCATTCGCACCAGTGTCTTATATAGCATGAGAACAGACATGATAAAAACTCCTTCCTGGAAGTTCCACCCTCAGAGTCTACCGGCCGATGGGTTCAAATACAACTACATCTTCGTCCCACTGCAAGACATGATTGAAAGAGCCATCATTGTGGTGCAGACTGGGCAGGAAGCCCTGGAGCCGACCACACAGGCACAGGCAGCACCTTATCCATGCCACACCAGCGATTTGTGAGTAGCTGTGGTCAACCACGCTTTCCTCCAGTGTCCACCTGTGGGCAGAGGGACTGTGCTCAGAAGACAGTAGAGAAAAGACTCTTTGAGTTTCTCTGCAGTCATCTCAAAGAACAATAAAAACTCCTTTTAATTTCTTTTAAAAAAGTATTTTAATTTTATTTTTGAGGATTTCATAGATCTTAATTGTATTTAGTCTCCTCTTCCCTATCTGCACCCCCATAGCCCGCCCACAGGCTTTCATGCATTTTGCCGTATATGTTAAGGCCTATCGAGTCAAGTTGTGTACCCAGATGTCCCTCGATATGAATTCATCCACTGGAGCCTGTTTAGCCTGTCTAGCATCCCTCCCTTAAAGATCAACTCTGCCTCACCCAGTAGTGGTCAGTTGCCAATAGTTCCTCACCAAAGTTGTGGCCTTCTGCCCATTTCCCCAGAGCTGTGCTGGTTTTTATTGGATTGAGTTTGCATGGGTCTTGCGCATACTGTCACCTTGGCTGTAAGTTCATATGAGCAAGGTCCCAGAAGCCTGTAAGACTCCCTTTTTATATATTTGAATTGTTTCAAAAAGTTCCAAGCCCTTTAATTAGCTGTGTGCCATGTGCTATACTGAATCCATATAAGTGGAGGAATATATAGGCACTGCAGTAGGTACACCAGAGAGGTGACTTAAAGTATACAGTACTGTATGTAAATACTGTGCTATTTTATGTAAGAGGCTAGAGTGTTTGTGGAGTTTTAAACATAATTAATCAGACGCGTATAGCTTTAAACATCATTAGAATGAAGTTAATGAACACTAGTCAGAAGAACTGTGTGTATCTGGCCCCCAACTCAACCATTTACACCTGGGAAAGCAGAGCAGGGATATTCTTAGATCCAAATCTAAGTATTCAGGTGATGAAGAATTTCATGGGACCCCCTGTCTTAGGTATCCAGGGAGTAATCTGGGAACATCTGGAAGCTAAATCACAGTGATTTGGCTGTGATGTTGTACAAGACATTCTGTTTAAAACTGAGTCACCTGGCTGGCAAGGTGACTTGTAGAAACTGGTGGCATTAGCTAAGCCAGGCGGGGGAGTTTAGCAGGTAGAGCAGAAGCTACGGTCTGTTGAAGACCTGTGAACCTAAGGAAGAACTAGGACACCTGAGTGTAGTCAGACCACAGAGTGTATCAAAGTTGGTGAATCACTGCTGCAGGCTGTGGGTACCACTCTCACTCTCTTTCTTTTGTCACGATGGATGCTGTTTTCATAGGCGTCTGCATCCATGCTTGACCCTGGATAGCATGAGGTCATTTGCATTTCCTGTACACTGACTCTGATGGTATTTTTTGAGGCTCCCTTGAAAGCACAGAAGGAAGAGAGTGGCTGAACATAAGGTTATTAAAGGGACAACTTGTATGTGAAGCTAGTTTTGAGAACAGAGCCAGATACTTGCCTTTGAATGAGAGGCTGCAGGTGATAGTTCATGCACATCCGACCTCTGAAGCCAGACTTTCTCTCCAGCTGACGGGGGGCCCTCTGTGAGGACAGATCACTTGATTTCTTGCTCCCTCCTTTCTACATAGTAATATCCCTCCTCATTACAGCCCATCAGCACATTGCTGTGGGATGCATGGTGTGGGATGCACGCATCATGGTGGTTGGATGAAGGCTAAATAGGGCACAAAGGCCTGATTATGCCTGTTTTGGGATGTTTGCATGTGGCGGAGTAAACAAAGGTCAGGAACAAAGAGCCCAAGGTCCCGTTTCTACCAGGGATGGCCACTTTAGGCAAATCATTGGTAAGGCCGGTAAACTCCTTCTTTGTAAGATAAAAGCTCTTCTTTCTTTTAAAAGCAATGCTAGTTTTTGACTCTGAACATTACAAAATGCTTCAAAAGCATTTTAGTTGGAGGTGATAGTAGATGGCAGAAACCAGAACAGTGCTGTGTTGGCTGGGTGTCACACAGATGATTCCTTTGAAATTCAAGCCTGGTCTGAGAAAAGCAAAAGAAAACCTGTCTGACAGTCTCCTTCCACTTCCAGAGCATGTCCTGATCACCACGTATGCACCTGGGGACTCTGTGTATGTGTGTGTGTGTGTGTGTGTGTGCCAAGAATGCCCCATAATTATTGACTTGGGGGGTTACAATTAAATTTAGTGATCAGAAGAATTTGGAAGTGTGGAATGTGAGGTAGTAAGGATCTCATGACACCATCACACAATGTCATCTTGCCCAGTACAGAGTGTGTGTGTGTGTGTGTGTGTGTGTGTGTGTGTGTGTGTGTTGGGAAGATGAAGATGAATGTTCCAGTTCTGAGGTTCAAAGGAGAAGCCAGAGGGTGGCACTCCGTACTGTGAAGGGTGTTTCCTGGGAAGAGTGACAGACATGTTAACAAATGTGTTCCTGACAGCCTTGGTTTCCACTTCTTGGTTTTCAGGCACTGTGAGAGGGTGGGGGAGGAAGCGTTGAGTGAGGCAGATGAAGATGAGCTTCTTTCACCAACTGAAGATTAATTCTTGTGTACGAGGAACAATCCTGCTGAGAGCTGAAGTTCGTGTGATGCTTGTGTGTGTTTCTGATGCTGTAATGACTCTTCATCTGCACACTGGGCACAGCATAGCTTCTAGACCTGTTCATTTACTTGTTTGAAGCAGGGAAGAGCTGTTTTACCTAAAGACCTCTCTTCGTCATGCATCCTTCCTTCACACTTAGTTCCAAAATTTCTGATGCTGAAGGCTCAGTGTGCCCGCAGTGACTGAGGCAGCCTGAGATCTTTCAAGAACTCAGTCACCCAAGTACAACTTCTAAAGCACACTTGTTCAATAATTTTTAGTAGTCTCCTGCTGCTTACTGAACAAGTTACATAGTCATTAATTTATTAATGTATTCAATGACATTTTTGTGCTATTTTCAGTCTCAAGTTTGGGGTGAATCAGTGAGATGAACGGGTGAAAAATCTCTGCTTTGAGGGCACTTAGAGTTCAGGGAAGTCTACAGATACAGTACGGGGGGAGAGTGAATTGAATGTTAACGGTAGACACTGCCATGGTGTTCAGGAGAAGCAGGGTGGAGGTCAGGAGTGTGGGGAGGGGAGCCAGGTTAACTAGATCACATCAGGAAGGTAACGCTAGTGCAAACTTGGAGGGGTGTTGACTCACAGGGAAAAGTTCTTGACCAGAGGGCCAGCTAGTGAAAAAGTCCCATTGTAAGCATGGTTTGTCATGTGCCCAGGCACAAGAGAAGAGAGCACCAAGGTGAGACAGAAGGGTGGGCTCAAAGAAGCCAGCACAGCTTGTGAGGCTGCAGGTGGTGTGAGTGATAGTAGACTATAGATGGCCTCAACAAGTAGTCATGTCCTCTGATACTTTGAGGAAGAGAATTAAACCCATAGTCCTGGGCCAGAGGTCCAGGTTCTCATCCCAAAGCAACCAAGTAATGGTACTGATGAAAAGTTAGGGAACAGTTTCATCCAAGTGTCCATTTGGGGAAAATGGAAGGTCCGCATTTTGGTGTATCTGCATTTCTAGGGCACTGACATGAGACTTAGGATTAAACAGAAGTACTGGGGCGGTGGACCAGAGGCATGTATAATCAGGCAGTACTGGTCAAAGTCTGGTCTGGTTGACAGTTATTTCAGTTGTGGTTCAGCATGGTGCCCCAAAGAAGTCCTCATTGCTTGAGGAGACAAGCCAGTTCCCATGAGATGATTGTTCCTTCTAGGGGGATCTCAGATGGGATCCACAAGGCTCTGCTTTCTGCGGGGCTCTGCTGTTCTTGGATTCCAAGAAGACGGCAGGTTTAGGACAGGGACTAGAGACTCAGGTGCCTTTGGGTGGGGGGGTCTAGAACGGTGCATTGTAAAAGCTGCTAGTAAGCTGCCCCAATTACTCTTGTCTTTATGCCTTCAGCCTTGAAGTGGGACAAGTTAGGTTGGGTATGATGAGTTTTTAGACTAACACTTCGAGTGCTAAACATGCCTACATGCAGAAGTAAGCAGGTGTCTAACCCCAAAGTAAAAAAGATGAAGACAGGGATGCTTTTAATTACCTGCAGGTGCAAATGAGGCGCCAGTGATTTTTAGCACAAATCATTTGTAAGTACCTATAAAAGAACTGGAGCATGCTGGGTCTGACTGGGTGATGGCTCTTGGGCATCACTGCATCTGGACTTTGTTGTAGCTTGGGAAGAATGGAGAATGAAGGGTGACACAGAATCCATTTGAGGTGTCAGATTCTGCTCCATTGGTCCACACAGACCCGCGGGCAGGCCTCTCATTTCATGCATTATGACTATTTTTTCTTGTGCTTACTGCAAGTAGCTTTAGTGGCCCTCTCTCCCCTACTTGCTCACAGTCCTTGTTCTCAGCAAACGTCAACATTCCTGACACACAGAGATCAGAGCTGTTGGGAGTCTCCTTCCCTGCTCTAGTCCAGTCCCTCTGAGGGGACCTGAACACAGGCTGATGACAACAGCTGTCAGAGAAGTAGAAGAAACACACTCCTCGAGCTGTTGCTCTCACTTTCCCACACCTCTTATCAACTCTGCTAGACCACAGTGAGTAGCCAGCGAGTGTAGTGCTTCCCTTCAAACTGTTTATTTCCTCGTTCATAATGCCCTTCATCTTCTAAGCATCTTATAGACACAGCTGAAGAGATGGACTCACCTTCTCAAAGGCTTCATGGCTTCTTCATGCCCTTATGTCGATCCCCCAGTGGACTGTTAGATGCTCCTCTCTTAGGCATTTTGTGTGAGAGCTTTTTTCACTCAGGTGCACTGGCTCCTGTGCATTGGACTTACATCATGTTGATTCATAAGATCAGATCTCAGATTTCCACAGTGCTTTTTTGTTTTGAGACAGGGTCTCCCTGTAGCTCCAACTGGTCTGAAAAGTTGCTGTGTAGACCAGACTGGCCTCAATCTCATAGAGACTGGGTGGCCTCTGCCTCCCAAGTGCTGAGATTAAAGGTGTGCACCTGGCTCAGAGGGTTTCTTCACATGATATGTGACG